CGACGACGAAAAACTTAGAGAAAAAAAATATTTGTTAGCTGCTCAGATTTTCAAACAATTTGATGAATCGTCTTCAATAAAAATCTTTGGGTAGTTCCATGAGTAGTCAAACACAAAATATGCAAAGTATCTAGAAAATTTTCTTTTTGGCTCGACTTTGTAGAGCTTTTTTCGCTGATCATTTTGGTATAAAAAAGTTGTGAACTTCATTAAGAAATAACAATACTATAGCCAAAATAAAATTACATAGTAAAGTAGTTTAAAATGCCATTTTTCCTTATAAAATATCAGAAAAAGTTGAGTCTCTGATCTGCAAGTGATCATATTCTCGTGAAATATGATATAGTAGGTTTTGTAGAAAAAAATTCGCTCTATAAAACCCTATAGTTGGTTTCTCAAAGACGATGGAAAAATCTGGAATAAATTCCAATACAATACTCCATACAATATTCCTATCAAAAACCCTATTTCATACGGGAAATATCCTATACAATGTTTCATCAAAATTTATTCCATATTTTTCCATTGTCTTTGAGAAACCAACTATAGGGTTTTACAGAGAAAAATTTTCTCTACAAAACCTACTATATCATATTTCACGAGAATATAATCACGTGGAGATCAGAGACTCAACTTTTCCTGATATTTTATCAGGAAAAATGGCATTTTAAACTACTTTACTATGTAATTTTATTTTTTGCTATAGCATTGCTATTTCTTAATGAAGTTCACAACTTTTTTTATACCAAAATGATCAGCGAAGAAAGCTCTACGAAGTCTAGCAAAAAAGAAAATTTTCTGGATACTTTGTGTATTTTGTGTTTGACTACCCATGGAACTACCCTTTATATCTTTTCAACGTAAAAATGTATCGATCTCGACCTTGTGTAGATCAATAGAGGAGAAGTTAGGCTACTTGTCCATCATATTATAGTTGGAAATGTCTGTTATTTTCAAAGTGAATTAAGTTTATCTTCAAAACTTATTATGTAGTCAAGGAGAAAAGCGACTGGAATTTTTCATCAACTTAGTAAAAAGATAGAACTGCATCAACTCTATATAGTACGACAAATTCGAGTTACTTCTCTCTTTTTTTTAAAAGTTATTCAAAAAAATATCCATAGCCATTTAACTCTGAAGTAGACATTAGTTATTGGACATCAGGACTTGAAGATAGACAATAGAAAATGAAAGATAAGCAAGTTGCTATTATACAACAATCTCAAGCTTTAGATGCTAGTAAGTAACATTAATCTTTTCAGTTTACACGTGCATCCCTCATTCCATTATTATATACTACAAAATCAGGCAACAATTGATTGCTAATATATTCTTTTTGTTTAAATTTTGTAGAACAACGTCCGTGATCAAAATGGAATTGTTCTAATGAATCTTGTGTACAACATACCGGACACAATGTCGAACAAGTACAACATTTGTATTCTATATCTGAACAATCACTTGCAGATTATTGTCACCATAGAAACGAAGAATATATAAATAGTGCCATCACTCCTTATTTATCTCCTTTGAATTTGCTGGCAGCTACATTGTAGTTCCTGAAGCATTATCATTCTGAACGTTATATTACTGTAGAACTCGATCTAAGCCAATCAATAGTGAATTATTTCCTATTCGTGTTTGTGTATATTTTATATTTCTGTGTATATCCAGAATTAGTTTCATTACCTGTCGATATGGCAAACAGAATCACATTACATGAACTGCAACAGCATCATAAACGGATAGTTGATTCAACTTTCACTGCAGTCCCCGAACCGCATCATTTATAGCAACGTAAAGCATATTATCATGCGAAAAGTTTCACAAATTATGCATTATAAATACAAATAGCTTGTGATTTTCATTATCGAATAACACATGTATCTGAATGTTATCATGGGAGTGTACATGATATTACAATTCTGAGAGAATCAGGAATATTAGAACATGTAGAAAAAGCTGTGCAAATTATTGCTGATAAAGGGTATATTGGTGAACAATACATAGTCACTTCAGGAAGGAAATCTCATGGTGGTGAATTGACAGCTGAAAACAAAAACTTCAAACGTGATATTAATAGTACAAGATCGACTATTGAAAATATTAATCAATGTCTCAAAATTTATGCTATTTTTGGTAGCATTTACAGAGGACCTATTGATGCCTTGTGTAAGATAACAGAAATCCCACAAACTATTTCTGCTCTATGTTATATGAACTTGAATAAACATCTCATTCGTAAATAAACAACATGATAAGTTGTATTTTCTGATTAACTAATTGATAATAAAATTCTGTTATTGATATTTCATGTTGTTTCAAATTTTGTAGGAATAACTGGTGGATGTTAACATATTAAATACAAACTACCTTTAATATAATGATGAGAAGAAAACATTTGGCAACTCTTCTTCATAGTAAGATATAGAGCTCAAACAATAACTGATCATCGGCATTATATATGTATTGCAACTAGTAAAAAAAATTACGAGTTTCTGATGTCTGGCTGAAGCTACTTAGGCAAATAAAAATTGGGGTATCAGGCCGGTTGGCTACCCCCATATATCCAAATAATCTTCTACTATTGAGAGAAAACTTTCGATTAATCTAGAAACTAACTTGACGAATATAAAAGTGATTGCATATGACAAAAAACTCTGTGAACAATGCGAACCTTAGAAATATTAAAATGAGTACCCCGTGTGATGACCTATGGGCTCGTGTTCTTTTCATTACGTTCTCATATTGTTTTCTACAGTAAGTAGGCTGCTTTCAAGTGATACAAATATAAAATAATTGAGTGATTGTAATCGCTCGTTATGATCGAACAATACGTAGGACAATCCTAAAAGTTAAGCCAGTTTAAAAATAGTGCCCACTCTGAAAATTCCTGGGTCTATTTGTTTTTTCGCACATATTCTCAAATTAGCAGGTGAGCCAGAATCACTGAGCCATCGCTATTCCCTCCACATTGTTGGCATCGGCGATGATACACTCCAATGCCAAACGAATACTAAAATATCCGGTCGAGTGTAATTGGCTTAGGACATGTGCCCGGATAACAGAAGATGTGCGGTTCGAAATCCAAGAAGAGCCTGTTTTTCTTCATTCTGTCCATTTATATATTTCCTTACGCTGAAACTCTTTATGACTCACATATAATGCTTACACATATCTCTCAGTTTTTATTGTTTCGGAACAGGTTTTTTTCAAAAACGTTCAGCATTGAATTTTCTACAAAGTTCTACAGAAAAGGTCAACACAGATATAAAAGGACAAGCTTATCATAATAATACTACGAGAGTCTATCAATAATAACTTTCAAAGTGTTTTCATTGATACTGGCTCGCGTTTTTTGCTGGTATTGAAGCACCATGCAAAAGATTCTACGTAAAAAATTTATTTTTCAAATAACTAGTCCTAGTTTTTCATGTTTTCCCTTACTTTTAACCCATAAACTATTCGAAGTAGTACTGTTTCATAATGCATATGGTCTTGCATAATATCGTTTAACGGAATTTTCACAAATCAAAGCCTTGCTCCAGGAAAAAATACGGTGAAAAATACGAATATTTTCGAAAATTCATGAAAACTAATATTTATTTAATTCTATAACCTTTTAATCGAAGAGTCGTGATGCACATTCACAGAGTACATCTTTCACAATGCTCAACAAAAATGTTTGCTTAGTTTGCCCCAATGGTTTGATACTATGAAAACTTAAAGAGATATCGAGCAAAAAGTTAGGAGATCATTTACGTTTGGGAACCATTATTTTCTAGTACTATAAGTGTGCTATGAAACCACAGAAAAATGAAACTGTTATACACTAATGATCATTCGGTGTCACCGAAAAACATACAGCAAAATTTCAGAGGTAGAAGTATGTCAACTTCCCAAAAACCCAGTTCAAGAGAACCCCTTTCACGAAAATTTCCTGAAGCACTTGTTTTCTGTACAGCATCATATCTAACTTTTAGTGAGGTTAAACCTCTTCGAATGCTAAAAGAATACAATTTTGAGCGATTTTTTCTACGTTGGAACTCACAAAACGTATTGACAATTCCTGCTGTGGACGCTTGATGAGTAGAGTGGCACTACAATAATTAATGGCTGTTATTCATGTCATATAGAACTTCCAAGATTTTTGTCGGCAGGAATAAAATTACTATGATACAAAAACAATACTACACAAGCTTACGAGGAAACATTCCAAACTGAGCCGCCTTATTTACATTCATATTATGCCCATATGTAGGGGACCATTATATTAGGATAATCACCAAAGGGTTCGTGCTCTTGTTAAGATTTAACCGAAATTTCTAAGTTTTAGTGAATTTTTCCTACAGGACGTTAGTTTTTGAGTAAAATCATGCCTTCGAATTTTGATCTGGAACTTTGCCAACATGAAGATCTCGCTATGAATAGGTCATATATACAATTTAATTATTTTTAGATATTGTATATTTGAAATACAAATTTTCCAAAAAAAGTAATGTTCTATAGATATATATAATGTAATGCATTAATATTTTGAAAGACTCATATGTCAGCGACACAATGTTCAAGAAGGATGAAACTTTATATAAGAGCTAGTCATAGCAAGACCTTCATGCTGACAAAGTTTTAGATCAAAATTTGAAGATATGATTTTACTCAAAAACTGACATCCTATAGGAAAGATCAACTAAAACTTAGAAATTTCGACCAAATCATAATAAGAGCATGAACGCTTTGGCGATTATTCTAAGCTAATGCTTCCCTATGTATGGGCATAATATGAATGTAAACAGAGTGAATCACTTGAGAATATTTCCTCGTTAATGGTATTATTTAAGGACAGGAAAACCTGCTGGATGCTGATAATGAAAAGCGTCTTCTGAAGAGAGTGTAATTTTTAAAACTACTTACGTTTGCTCAGGGTATTCTTGCGAAGTCTTCTGTGCTGATGAGCAGAATAACGGTGTAATGAAGCGAAACTATTCTATGCAAAAAAAATGAAATCATTATGTTGCTTATAGAGAAATCGAAAAAAATAAGTTTGGCTTGTGTGCATTCATCCATATACGTAAAATAGCACATGATCATATATTATTGAGATATCTTTTTTTTCATACCTATATTATCGTTTTTTTACTTGTTCTCTCACTCACCACTCGAGCAGCTTAATCGACGGAAAGAGAGAGAATAAATTGAAGGTTGGAAATAATGTGCACTGTACCACGGTTTAATTTGCTTTTTTTTTTACCATCGTTGTAAGATGCAGGAAATTCAAAATTACAGGAAATTTTGTTTTTGGCTTTTTTTGCACCTGCTTCGATAGATGGCAGGAAACTGATTATAAAAAAGTAGTTTGAAACTTTTCAAAATATATTTTTGGTAGAAAAAAATTCAAAATGATGGAGTACAAAATTTTTTGGGAAAAATAGGTAAATTTTGGGTGTGGGTGTGTGTGGGTGTGGGTGTGTGTGGGTGTGGGTGTGGGTGTGTGTGGGTGTGGGTGTGGGTGTGGGCTGTGTGCATGTGGGTGTGTGGGTGTTGATCTGCCAATGGTTACATCCACACCGACAGCCACACACTAGACTCAAAAATATATTCTAATAATACTTCGAAATGAAAAGGGAGACATTTTTTCGAACTCGAATGCTGTTCCTTAATTTTGATTGCCTCTTATCAAGACCGTGGATGTGAGTTCAGAGGACACCCACACCCACAATCGCACTCCACCTCACACCCATGCACACATCCAATCACTGCAAAATAGTATTTTTAGGACATCAATCATTATCAATTGATACGATTCAATAACCGTAATCGAAACGCGTTTTGCTACCTTTTGATTCTCATGAACTATACAATCACATCCGCACTCGAAACAGAATCGATTATTCTTATTGTGAGTCTTATATTCATGTAGAAAACATGAATCTATACGAGACTTGAGCCCTCTGATCAGTCCATTGAGCAAGGGCAAAACCCGTCGTGGTAGCATTTACACGGCATCACCCCTTACATCTCACACCCTCATCTGATGAGATGCTAAAGTGAGGTCAAAATCTTGATCATGGCTAGCTGAATTCACTCTCAATCAGATGAACTTTTTCTCATAGGTCAGATCAAGTTAGTTTTTATTGATGCAGAATTGACATAAAACATAACAGACTAAATAAAGATACTGTAATAAAATAACACCGAATAAAAAGTTTAGAATATGCTGGCACTATTCGCTATGAAAAAAAGTATTCGTAGTCAGATATCAAATCGTAAGAGAGTTACAAGATATTACAAAGACGAGAAGATGTTGGCAACTTTTTTTGAGCTTCTACTGGCATCTCAAAATATAGTTGTAGTCGTTTTGCTTGATCAGTAAAAGTTTCGATTAGTTGCTGACACGCTTGTATATTTAAAAATGGCAGATCTACTGGTTCTTTTCTACCATAAACTACTATTTTGTCTTTGGTAGCTATTACGGCGGCTCCCTTCAGAAGTGTAAACTGAGTCACCACACATATCCAATCCGTTCTTTTAGCACTTAAAACAAAGTTGATCAATTCGTCCCCTGAGACATTTCTGAAGTATTCGATTCCGCTTCCCCAGAAGCAAAGATCTAAGACTGTCTTAGGATTTAATTGTGTTAATACGGTCGATGAATTCAGAATATTTGCAAGTGCATCTGCGGCTGTCCCTTCCAATTCCAGACCGTAATCATCTCTAATCAAAACCGCAAGCTTGTTAATCACTTCCTCTGTCGCTGCTTTCTCACCCATACTTTCCAGAATCCTACATGTACGACCTTTGCGCAATCTATCACCCCACCCTTCTAGTGCATTCGCTAACTCACTGATTACTTTATTTGTTGATTCTTTTTGATCTATCTGTGCGAGAACCATAAATGCATATTCTCCGACATCCCCTATATCACCTAGAGCACTCACTAATTCACTGATTACTTCTTTTGTCGCTGCTTTTTCATCTATCCTTACGAGAATTCCACATGCATACTGTCTGACAGTGCTATTGTCATCCCCTAATGCACTCACTAATTTACTGATTACTTTATCTGTAGCTGCTTTTTCAGTCATATTTCTGAGAGCTTTGCATGCTTGCCATCTAACACCCTCATTCTCATCTCCTACCGCATTCGCTAACTTACTGATTACTTCATTTGTTGCCGCTTTTTCACCTATATTTCCCAGAGCTTCACATGCGTTCTGTCTGACATAACTATTCTCATTTTCTAACGCACTCACTAACATGCTGATTACTTCATTTTCCGTCGCTCTTTTACCTATATTTCCCAGAGCTGTACATGCTTTCTGTCTGACATCTGCATCCTCATCTCCTAGCGCACTTGCTAACTTACTGATAACTTCATTTGTCGCCACTTTTTCACCAATACTTTCGAGAGCTCTGCATGCTTGCCCTCTAACATTCATATTCTCATCACCTAGTGCATTCGCTAACTTACTGATTACTTCACTTGTCGCCGCTGTTTCACCAATGCTTCCGAGAGCTTTACATGCTTCCGCTCTAACATCCCTATTCTCATCGCCTAGTGCATTCGCTAACTTACTGATTACTTCATTTGTTGCCGCTCTTTCGCCTATATTTCCCAGAGCTCTACATGCATTCTGTCTGACATAACTATTCTCATTCTCTAGCGTACTCACTAACATGCTGATTACTTCATTTGTCACCCATTTCTTACCGATATTTACGAGAGCTTTACACGCTTGCTCTCTAACATTCTCATTCTCGTCATGTAGAGCACTCGCTAACTTGCTGATTACTTCATTTGTTGCCGCTTTTTCGCCTATATTTCCCAGAGCTTTACATGCGTTCTGTCTGACATAACTATTCTCATTTTCTAACGCACTCACTAACATGCTGATTATTTCATTTTTCGTCGTTTTTCTACCAATACATACGAGAGCTTCACATGCATAAAATCCGCCTGTTTCACTTCCATGCTCTAGCCTACTGATTAACTTACTGAATACTTCATTTGTCGCTGCTTTCTCACCGACATTTTCGAGAGCTATACATGCTTCTCGTTGGCTATGTGCCCACGGATCGCATAACACACTCACTAACTTATTGATTAGATCATTTGTCACCGCTTTTTCACCTATGGTTTCCAGAGCGAAATATGCATGATATCTGACATATTGATCCTTGTCATCTAGTGCACTCACTAAAGTTCTGATTATTTCATTTGTCGCTGCTTTTGCAGCTATCTTTCTGAGAGCGTCAGTTGCGCAACTTTGAACATAACCATCCGCATCACGCAGTGCATCCACCAACTTACTGGTAACTTCACTTGTCTCTACTTTTTCAGCCATACTTTCGAGCGCTTTACATGCACGCTGCCTGACTTTCTTATTTCTATCATCTAGTCTGGTAGTCACCGACAGAATAAGTGCAGCCGATGGTTTTGTAATCTTCAACTCAGAAATGAAGGACAGTACTCTAGATTTTATGTCTGTGTCACTGCACTGGAGTAGATTGATGAATACATTTATGATTGTTGGATCGCATACTATTGATTGGTTTCTTTGCAACGATTGTGATAAGTGGTTGCAAATTATATGATTTTCCATAGATAAGCTAGATTTAATGCACTCTGCTATCCATTCGAACAATACGGTACGTTGAGGAACAGCTGATTTCTCAGTAGTCTCTTCAATGCAGGAAATTATCAGTTGCATGTGCCTTATACCAACTAGATCCAAGGGTTCTCCTAGGATATTATCCCAGAAGACGTTTGAAGACGGTGTTTGATAGGTTTGGCTAAGGAGACCAGCTGCGAAAGGAAACACTAATGCATATCGTTGATTATATTTTTGATATTTGATGAATTCGATCGCCTTCTGTGTTGCATACTCTTTAAGAACATTAATTAAGTATCGTGCTGCGAAGTACTCTTGAAAGCTCAGATGAACAAAATAGTGATCTTTGTCTGTTTCAATTTGAGTACCAGTTCCTTGTTTGTTAAAACTTTTTAGAATACCTATATTGAGAATATGTGGATAATCTTGTAAAGAAACTTTTGTTTCATTCAATACTTGTTCCAGTAAAGTTGGCCGTATAATTATTGTGTTACTTTCCATTGCCTTAAAGGCTAGACTCTCTAAAAATACTAATTCTTTCTGACAACGTTGAGAGACTTCGGTTTTAGGGATTTTTTGAATCGGTATATTTTGTGCTGTCAAATATCGCCGACATAGCCATTCAGTCATCATACTATAAAGCGTCGTGATTGTTAATTTTTCTGTTTCTGGCCAACTTGTGTTACTCCAAAGACTGCAGATCAATTCTAGATTTATTGGAATATGTGCAACACCCCAAATACTTGCATTCGATTGTAAGAAGCTCAATAATTTTTCACTCTGAATTGACGCATCATCTAATTCATCTTTCATTTGATCAAAAAATTGTTCAACATACTTGATAATATTTTGGTCGATAAAACCTGTAATTTCCATTTGCACATTATATGATAATGTATTCAAATATGGACGGGACGTCAAAATATGGTGTGGAGTCTTAAGTAACTGTTCGAATAAGCCTTCCAAATGATGTGGTACGTTTTGTACGATTTCATCATATCCATCCAAAATCCAGAGAATCTTTTTTGTATCATAGTGTTTTTTCAGAAGTATTTTATCCTTTTCAGACAGATCATACGGAAAAACTTCTGTTTTCACGAGATCAATGAGTGAATAGCTCTGACCGGGTGGCAATAATGGGTAGCGGTTGGTCGTTAAACGACGCAATGGAATGAAGGCAAGTAGTTCATATTGTGGCCAATATGAGCCCGTTGCCCACTTGTAAGCAACATAACGACAGAATGTTGATTTTCCGATTCCAGCTCGTCCAAACACAAGCACTTGTTTCTTTTGATTTTTGCATGTTTCAAAAATGTCCTTGATATCTATTGCAGTTTTCATGCCGTAAATCTCTTCAAAACTACTCATGATGGCGTCACCATGCTGAGCGTCACGAAGTTGCTTTTCTTTTTGGTGTTGCTCTTTAGCTTTCACTATCGCTAAATTTATGTAGCTTTGTTCGATCGGAAACGATTTTTCTGGATTCATTACACGATTGACACAGCTGTTTTGTATATATTCATATTTAAGTAGTTCCATCAAATAGGTTGGTTCAGAAGGTGGTGTTGATGCTGAAGGTTGCTCTTTTATTCGATCACATAACTCCTTTGCTTTCAGCTGAATGTTCTCTTCTGAATCATCACCTTTGAAATTGATGTACAAGAGTCCTGCTGTTATCAGTCCCAGCCAATCAGATGGCTTCCATCCTTTTTTATCGCTAACTATGCATGGAATGATTCGTTTTCCTTGTGTTTGTGCATATTGTAATTCGAGTTTGCAGTTTTTAGAGTCCTGATATTCTGGTGACATGAAACAGCATACGATTGAAGCATTTTCTACGCCTTCTGCCATGCTAACAGAAAAATAGTGAAATAGAAGTGATAAATGAAACACGTTAAGAAGTATGATCTTCTCGATCGTTATTTATACCTTTTGTATATATCGTCTTTCATGCCTCCTTCTATATCAAGCCAAACTGAGATATTTTCGACTTTTAAAATATCATACACCTTGGAAACAATCTTTTGACTCTTCCAATTATAAGACAGCATGACGTGTTTTCCATTAGAAATAGCCATAGATATTATACTAGTTAATATAATCAGATGATATAAAGACTTGTGAAGAATAACTAAAAGCGATAAAATAAAGATTTCTTTTCTGACAATAGACTACTTTTTATATATGAACATCTCTAAATCCTGCTCTAATAATTTATCAATACGTTTATATCCAGCTCCATCATTATCACTATCGTAAACAAATCAATACTAACAATTATATGGTTGAACGAGTATAAAGGGTAGCAACATGACCGTATGCCAACCGCAAATTAATTTCCTGATATGTATCTTGTTATAGGCATATGTCGCTATATCTCAAACACAAAACTAAGAACATAGCTTACAGTAGCAACTGTGGCGTACTATGAACACTCTGAGAGAAAATTATCTACTCTACTCACTGTGATATTATCTTTTATAATTGCGGGCTGATATTTTGACAGCACCTGAGTTGTGGTGAATCTTGGTTACAAGCATGGATCTGGCATTAATGAACTAAGAAACACTGAAGTTATGAGTGAATCGGCATCTTTACTGCGTCGTGATAATATCTAGACATTTTGCCACTTTTGGTTTTGCTCAACGCGTTATTCAAAAGACTAATGTTGTAGCTATCTCCAATCTAAGATTGATAAGAAACTTCCTTGCAACAAGTGCAATATTGTTCTTTTCTTTTTACATTGAAAACTTTTGTTAGAAAGTAAGGTGCGTGCTTCAGACAGATACATAGAACTTCGCATGGGTCCCACTGATTCTCCTGGAAATTTCACCGGAAAGCTCTTAAGATTTCGTAAATCCGTGCTAAAAGTCTCAGAACTGTAGATTTTAATACAGTTAAGATGCAGTCATGATATTGATCCAATACGAAACAGCTCACCAACTGTTCGAATCTGGGTGACATCTGTCGGTTTTAAGATAGAGAAAAATGTATTGATGGGTGCTTATTTTCTGGCAAGAAAATCACATATCGCTTGTCTGAGAATGATGAAATAAATAAAATACTTTTAAAGTACATTTGAATAGCACATACTATGAATAGATGCCATTTTATTCAACAATGCGAATCAATGATGATAATGAATCACTAAGAAATGATACAGAATAGTGAGATTTCACTTCATGGCTGGCAGCAATTTGAGTTACTTTAGTTGCATACCGCAGTGCTTTAGATGCTGTGTATGAAGACTGTTGAACAGTATAATCGTGTGCTCTCATGCATTTGTATCAAGTTTTGAGTAGCAAACAACAAGTACCAATACAGTTTTGTATTGTTAAGCAAAAAAATTTTGTCATAGCCCACGCTATTCAAGTGAACTTTTAAAATGTTTCATTTGTTCCACTATTCCAAGACGAACTACAAGTCATTTTTTAGAACAAATAAACGTCTATTAGCATAGGATTTTCTGCGCAAAAGCTGCTACATATTGAGATCGAAGCGATCTACAATACTGCATTCGGTAGAAGCAGTTGACTGAATCTTGAACCTAAATCTGGGTACCGAAGAACTTAAATAACCAAATCTAGGAATACAACGGTGACGGTGCACTAGTCACCGGTCAACCGGATTACTGCTGATCGCTGGAAGTGGTGCACCGGTTAAGTTTAAGTCTGTTACTGTAACAATGACCTCTCGCTGGTTACCGACACTGCTGAGATCACTTTTTGCCATAAGGGAACTACTATTGTGAAAATAACGTCATCTTCGCAGATTAAAAAAAAAAAGATTTTCGCGGTGCCACTAACGATGATGCCGATAGACATGGGCAAAAAGGTTTTTTTTTAGGATCGGAATCGTATCGGAATCGGCAAGTGCTTTTTTAAGTCACAGCCGCTCACAATTGTAGATTCGCAATAGCATGCATATTTTTTGCTATATTTTGTTTTAGGCATCTTGTCAAAGAACGAACTGATGAAGCAAAGAATGATGATGACTATTTTTTTAATTTTTTTTTTTGGAAGTGTCACTAAAATGTAATTGTAAATAGATACATATCTAGTCTTGTATTGAAATGGATTGTTGTTTTTTTGAAAAGAACAAGTAATTTTCCTTTTTCTCAAATATTGTTTAAATAAATATCTGAAGGACTAATTTCATCATTTATTAGAAGAGAAAGAAAATGTATTACTGCTTTTTATGAAAATGCTCCTGATTCCAGTTTTCTAGTACCTTGAAATCGGAATCGTATCGGAATCGGGAGATTTCAAATGAATTTAAATCGGTATCGGAATCGTCCATCTCTAGATGCCGATTCCAAAATAAAGACGTATGGTGATGATCGCTTTTTTCCTGTTATTCTGATGTTTCCATGCCAACAGTAGCCAGTAATGCTTATTCGCTGGTCATCGCCGTAGCTTCCTCTATCAGAAACCTAGAGTGATGATCGGTGGATAGATACTACTGGCTGTTTCAGACATAAAGATATCTTTTCGTCATCGAAAAACGTACCAAAGAAAAATAAAGAGTTTTTTCATGAGGTTTGAGCCTATGTTTTCAGATTAGCGATAGTTAGACTGAGAATTTCGGTACACATTTTTGAGGAACGGATTCCAGATTCAGATTTCTTGACGCCGATTATCTTCGATCAAGTTTTATAAAAAAAAAATAGGTTTCTTCCCTTACTGCCTTGTCTTGAAAGAATCAAATGGAAGAGTATTGCCTTAATTGATAACGGTAATGCAACTCTTCGTATCACGGTAGCCTACGATTCCGAATAGGCCGAGACTGTAGTTAGAGATTTCCTGGTAACAGTCATCAGAATATCCCGAGTCGGTTGCCAGTGAATCATCGTCATCGTTGCATCCCGAACCATGTTCGATTTCAGAGAACTCGAAATTCGGTGACTTTTAGCCATTGATGACTCTCTACCAAGGGGGAAACAGCTGAAATCAGATTTTTTTGATTTTTTTTCTTGATTTTCTCCTTGATTTTTCTAACTTAAAACCAACTGATTTTAAACGAAGAAAATCAGAAAAATCAATAAAATCAAAACAAAATCAGAAAAATCAAAAAAACAGAAAAATCAAAGCAATAAAAAAATCAGATTTCAGCTGTTTCAGTCTAGATTGATATTTTGAAGAACAAATATTAAAAATTTTATCATTTTCTTTGATTTTTCTGATGTTTTTGATTTTCTTTTTTGATTTAAATAAAAAAAATCAGCTTTTCCCCCTTGCTCTCTACTCACAAGCGGACCTCTCCAAGTGCCAAACCGCTTCAGAATTCAAAGTGTGTGCATCATATAAGGCCTTATGAGCTATGGATGCCTTGAAAATACTTCGTGTCGCTAACTTATTGCTGTCAAAATATTGCTTTTTCAAGGTATTACCAGGAGAAGTCCGTGGTCTCCTCAAGAATTCTTGGAACCCTGACTAGGTGTGTGACAGTTCCATCTCAGTTCCAAGAGTGGGAGCTGGTCGATCAGCCCACCTCTCGTGAACTGGACTAACCTATACTACTGCGCACGAATGAACCTAGAAAGGCTTTTCTATAACGATACTCATAAGTCTCTAAGGGCTTATCTATAGAGGTACTCATAGGTCTCTATGACCTTTCCGGTAGCGCCATCTATAAACCCGTGTAGTCTTTCTTGTAGAAGTATACATGAGTAGCTATTATCTTTCTTAGAGAGGTCCACATTGCTGTTTATTCGGTCTTCAGTGCGTGTACTGATTAGGGACCTAACAACACGGTTGAACTTGCTGCTCTTCGGTACTGTGAACTACACTCTTGGAGTAATGAGTAAGATTTGGTAACAGTTCGGCTTCTGAAGACATAGTTGTGAACAGATCGAGTCATGCAAAGTCTTGCTCTAGCGGCATTTTCTACCGAGAGTGACCAGGGAAGCCGCGAATAGAGTAGTCAGTGATCGAGTCAATAGTGGGACTGACCCCCATCTTGTATCGATGTTAGCTGTATTACGTGCTTGATCTTTGTGAGAGGCAGCAGTGTAGTATATGTATGCTGTATATTTGGAAGAGTTCTGTAGTTCGAAGAATTGAAATGGCAATTGCAGTGTAACTATCGTTTCAGTTGCTACCAGCTTCGTTGGAGCGGAGTTTCATGATTTCCAAATGCGCTATATTTCGCAGTCATATTTTCTAATACCAGTGTCAGGTGCTTCATAACTCACCATTCAAAGTACGAAGGATCACATCCAACCAGGTGCCAAACTGGGAACACTAGTGAGAAGATTATCTTTTCCAAAAGAAAGACAAAATTTCAGTTTATGAAATCAAACTCACTAACCGAGACTCTGCGGATCAGTGAACTGTCTCCGTTTTCTTTCAACTACCTGCGTTCTATTTCTTTGCATACTTGAGAGCGTTAACCCCGTGAATGCAGAACGCGCAGCTGAAAAGATGATATCACCCTCAGAATGTCGGCAAGCTTACCGATCAGTACAGCACTGACACAAAACAAGGAATGTTTATCGAGATGCTACGTTACACACTTATGGACGTCCCCGCTGCACCCCACAGCATCCACATACTTACCCGCCATCGAAGCGAAATGGCTGAGATATCCATCCGTACGGATATAGGATACGAATACAAGTTTAGCGATACTCTAATGCGAAGCGAATAGATGGCGATGAATATCCTTACAGGAAAGCCTTTAGACACTTACGGGCACCCCTATAGGGAAGCTCTTTGGGGACTTATGGGTAGCCCTATAGGAAAACCCATAGAGCGTTAAATGCAAGTGATAGTATAGAAGCGTCCAGCTCTCGTGAGCGTTTGAGTTGA